CAACCTCCACCTCCTGGGTTCAAGTGATTCTCCCGCCTCAGCCTCCCGAATAGCTGGGATTACAGGCACCTGCCACCATGCCTGGCTAATTTTTGTATTTTTAGTAGAGATGGGGTTTCACCATGTTGTCCAGGCTGGTCTCAAACTCCTGACTTTAGGTGATCTGCCTGCCTCAACCTCCCAAAGTGCTGGGATTACAGGCATGACCTGCACCTGGCCTCACCTGGAAACATTTTAAATGAGCTTACTGGAAATAGAAGGCTTTGTTAGTAGTAGTCAGTAATAGTTTGTTAATAGTAGAAAGTAAACATCTTCACTTTCTTCACGGAAGACCCCTTCCACCCCCACTTAAGGCACCCCATCCTGGCTGGGCCCTGCACACATTGCTGAGATGGGCTGACCATCAATACCAAGCAGGCCCTGTCATTAGAAATACCTGATGTTAGAAGATCAGGTGTTAAATGTCACAGCCTAGGAGGAGCAGTTCTGGGAGAACCCAGATGTCCTCAATGCTCCACTCCATACCAGCCCTGGGATGCTGGGGTGTGAGCCAGGCAGATGCAAGAACCATTAGAGGGTGTTCCACACAGGGGAGCGTCTCTACCCCCTTATCCATGATGTCCACACCCAGCTGGCTGGCAAGATCACGGGCATGCTGCTGGAGATTGACAACTCGGAGCTGTTGCTCATGCTGGAGTCTCCAGAGTCCCTCCATGCCAAGGTAAGCAGGAGCCAGCCTGGGTAGCAGGGAGCCTGAGGGGCCAGGAGGAAAACTAAGGACAAGGGCTCTCCTAGTGGAGCTAGTGGACAGCTGTTTGGCCAGATAAAGTGTTCTTGCTGATACCTGAAGGCCTGCTGAATCTTAGAGTGGAGGGGGCCTTAGGTAAGGGTTTGCTACTTCAGCCCCTCCATGGACTAATTCTGTGTTGTTCCGTAGGAAGGGTTTTGGTACAAGGAAGTGTGTTCTGACTGAGTGTAAGGATTAGGATTTTTCCAGCTGTCCAGCAGTGTACCCGTGTCAAAGGTGACAGGGCCATGGAATCTTGCAAGTAGTGGTGGAGTTTCCACAGAAATACTGTGGATGGCAGAGGATCCTGTGTCCAGGATGCTGAGCCAGGGGGAGGTCAAGACTCTTCTGGGACCTGCTGGGACAGCTGCACTAAGCCCCTTCCACTCCTGTCCCACAGATAGACGAGGCAGTGGCCGTGCTGCAGGCACACCAGGCTGTGGAGCAGCCGAAGGCGTTCATGCATTGAAACCAGGTGGGTGGAATGATGACAGGAGCAGCTGAGCCTGGGAGAAGCTGTAAGGAACTAGGCAGGGACTGACTTTCACAAACACACAGAGAATCGTGCTGTGTCCCTGGCTTTCTCTGAAGTACCAGGGAGTCTGGAGGAAGTTGTGAAGATCAGAGATGGTTAACTGTGATCAAAATGGGGGGTGGAGATGACGGTGCAGGGTGAAGGAGGTGCCCTCTTGCCAGCTGCCCTGACTGGCTTCATGCAGCATAGGTTGGGCTTTCCTGGGACCCTGCCTGGCTCCATTCTGCCTTCCTGAAGGCCTGGCTGGGATGAAACCACCTTCTTTATTGAAGACCGGGTATCTGCCATACTTTAAAAACACGTATTTTTACCTTTTTATCCTCAGGAAAGGAAATCCTCACTTCCATGGCTGCCAGAAGGAGTGTTTCTGGCTCTCAGCCCTAAGGCCCTGCAAACTCTAACTTATTTACCAATTAGTCAGTATCTATACTTGGGCTCTGTATGTGAGTGAAGGTTGGTCATCTATCCAGCCTATTACCTTTTGCTTTGTGTATTAAAAGTGCTGCAAAATCTGCCTTGCCTCCCAGGAGGCCCTTTTGTGTCTGAAGGAGGTAGGGACAGAGCAAAGGGTAGGCATGACTGGGTGGGGGCTCTGGCTACAAGAAACAAAAACCCAGGCGGGCGCAGTGGCTCATGCCTATAATCTCAGCACTCTGGGAGGCTGAGGTGGGCAGATCACCTGAGGTTGGGAGTTCGAGACCAGGCTGACCAACGTGGAAAGACCCCATCTCTACTAAAAATACAAAAAATTATCCAGTCCATGCCTGTAATCCCAGCTACTTAGAAGGCTGAGGCAGGGGATTCGCTTGAACCTGGGACGCAGAGATTGCAGTGAGCTGAGATTGCGCCATCGCACTCTAGCCTGGGCAACATGAATGAAACTCCATCTCAAAAAGAAACAGAAACCCAAAGGAGTGCTGAAGTACACAGAGTGTATATACACAAGAGCAGGAAAAGTGCCAGGAGCTGATCCATCAATGGTACAGTGGATGACAACATCAGTATCACACAATACACCAGAGCTACAGGGGCCCCCATCTGATGTGCACCGAGTCCCTGGCTTGAGCACCCTGCAGGGCAAACACCCAGTTGCTTCTCGGCTCCAGGTTAGCTAAGGGGTTGTGTAACATGATTAAAGAACCCTGGTAGGAATGCTTTAGGGTATCTTACCAGGTTAGGATTGTCATCCCTACAGGTAATGGGGAAGTCTCTTGAAAAGCTTCTTTGGGACAGTTAGTGCTCACCTCCCATCAGGGATGTACAGTCCAGGTCTTCGCTCTCTTATACCTGAGCAGCCAAATGAAAGTGGCCACTATGACCCAAGTAGACTGGGTTCTGCTAAAAATTCACCAGCAACAAATTTGACTGAGTCCTCAAGGTGCTGCTTTGCCACTCTCAGCTCCTCATTCTTCCTGTTTCCCACTCCACAAACCTCCAACCTGTCTTCACCACACCCTGCCCACTTCTCTGGCTGCTTCTAATCTGCTGCCCGTGCAGATCCATCATCTTCTCCCCAGTGCTGACTGTTGGCATTTCCTTAGTCTCAGTCCTGGGCCCTCTCCTTTCCTCATGCCATGCTCTCCTGAGCTATCTAATTTTCAAACACATCTTCAATTTGCACCCAGTCTAGGATGACTCCCCGTTTTTTTCTTCAGTCAACTCTTGAGTACCTGAGTCACTTCTCTCACATTCCACAGCCTACCTGCCATCAGCTCCTAATTATCTCAGTAACATGTCTAAAATCAAGCTCATGATTTAACTAAGTTCTCCTTCCTTCTCATTCTGGTTTTTTTTTTTTTTTTAGATGGAGTCTCACTCTGTCACCCAGGCTGGAGTGCAGTGGTACAACCTCTGCTCATTGTAACCTCCGCCTCCTGGGTTCAAACAATTCTCCTGTCTCTTGCTGGGACTACAGGTGTATGCCACCACATCTGGCTAATTTTTGTATTTTTAGTAGAGATGAGGTTTTATTATATTGGTCACGCTGATCTCAAACTCCTGACCTCAGGTGATCCACCTGCCTCGGCCTTCCAAAGCGTTGGTGAGCCACCATGCCCAGCCTTATTCTGATTCTCTCTTCTAGTGTTCTATCTCCATAAATGGCCCCACCATTCTGTTACAACAGCCAGAATTGGAGGGTTTCCCCAGCCCTGCTGCCACACACTTTCTCTCCTCCCATCTTTCATAGAAAACCCATCAATATTACCTCCTACCAAATCCAAATCCACTCCCACTACCTAGTGGAATAAATCCACTAGCTCGAGCTAAGCTCAACCCCTGCTCTCACTGCCTTCCACTGGTTAACTGCACCTACCCTGGCCCTCCTGCAATCTGGCCTCCACCATGCAGTTTTAAGGCTTTTTTTTTCAAAATGCCTCTCTAATGTCTCATCCTTGCATAAATCCTGCAGTAGCTTCCCATCATTAGAGTAAGGACCACTTTCCACAGCCTAGGAGACCTTGCATGATCTGCTCCCAAGTAGGACTCTGCCCTGTCATTCCCACGTAACGATGTTTACCTTCTCTGGGAGTGGGGTAGAATTCCATCACAACCGTTAAGACACATTGATAGCTGTGTGTCCCTTCCTAGAAACTAATCTATGAGAAACAGAAGTTTTATTCTTCAAAGGCTCTCTGGAAAAGTCTGATAGTAAGTTTCAAAGATGAGTGATGGGGATGAACATGTTGTGTTCATCAGAAATTCTGAAGTATAAAACAAGTAGCCTCTTCGGGTTGTGCCAGCCCTACCCTGTGTCTTTACTAGCATATCAAGTTGCCTGCCTTCTAGAGCTCAGAACAATATAAATCAGTTGTGAGTGGATGTCATGAAACCTGACTCACATCAGTCCTGCCTGCTTATGAGGCAATTAAAGGGGTACAGTGCCCCACTTTGAAACTGTCCCTTGATGGTGCCCATGGGGTTTGTCTGACTGTAAACTCTGCTTCAGCCTGGATGTTTGTGATGGCTCAGATGACAGACTCATCCTTAAGAGAGCTCAGAGGTGCCATGCTGAGTGCTGCTTAGCACTATGTGATGGGAGCCAAGGGATGATCAAAAAACCCTGTCTGCTCTGCTCCATGGAATCCTGAAACTCCATTTCCATAGGTTGAAAACCAGCCCAGGAAAACAAGGCAGCACTTGATTCTGGCTAGGTCCTAAAGCACTCTCCAGCCTCACTGCATCCCATGTTTTGTGAACTTGATCGGCCCTTTTAGGTCCCCGTACTCACTGGCCGTGCTCCCAGTGAGGGCCTTACACATGCCATCTGTCCACGATGCTTTTCCCTCCCCTCTTCACTAGTTAACTTCCCCGTTTGGAACTCAATTCAAGCTTTACTTACTCAGGGACCACATTCCCTCCACTGCATCAAATTTCCCCTTTTGGGAAAGGAAATAACAAAACTACTTCACAACACTTAGGCAAGCTGCAATTTTACATGTGTGTGGTTGTCTGATTAACATCTTGCCTTCCCACTAGGCTGCCAGCCGTCTGAGAGCAGGGGCTATGTCTATTCACTGCTGTCTCCCTAGCACTATTTGCAGTGCCTGGCCCATCCAGACATGTCAATACATTTGTTCAACAAATGAATGAATGCCCAGTAAGCAATAGCTTTTATTATTACTACAAAGTTCCAGGTGCAAAGCTGAAAAGGCAGAAATGAAAGCACAGCAGACATTTATGTAGAAGAAAGCCTTTTAATGCAACAGCTTAAACACGCAGTTCAACAAAATCAGTCAGTTCAAATTAACTTCAACATATTACAAAGAACTAAGAGGCCTGGAGAAGGCCACTGTTGGAACAAAAAGCCAAGTCCCTGCCCAGAAAGCATGGACACTGACCAAGGAGGCCTCTCTCCCCATCTCACCTCTAAGAGGAGTGGCCACAATCACTGGGTTCTTAAAACAGCTTAGGTGCCTCTCTGCAGAAGGCAGTAGCACAGAGTCATGAACAGACATCCAGGGGTCAGGGCTCTGCCTTCCCACCAAAGGATGGCCTGAACAAAAGGCACTGGGGCTCAGACACAGGAGACTGTCTAAGGACAGGAGAGGGACAGCAGCTGCACACCTGGAGAGACTGCAGTCCTGGAGAACCAGCTCAACAGACTGCTTTGCGTCAGGGCCTTAGGTTTATCATCCTCCCCAAACCCCTCCCACCCTTGCCCAGAAGCTCAGGCTGTTCAGATTAACTGCAGTGAGGTGGGGTCTGGGGAAGCTACATGGGCCGCACTCAGTCTGGAGCACACTTGGGCAGGACAAAGCTAAATGCTTTGCCGATGAGGATCTGCTGTTGTGATCAGCTAGCTGAGCTGGGGGGAATAGGGACAGGGCTTCAGCTTCACACTTAGCTCTAGTGGGACTCTTCTGGCGAAACAATGATGTCTGTGTATGACTACACTGAGCTTAATTTGAACAAGCAAAGCCTCTTCTGGGGTGGGAGGCCATCAAGGGCTGGGGGGGGGCTTCAGAGCTCACTTGGGGCATGCTGGGTTTCAGGCGCGGGCACAGAGCAGGTGGCCCGCAGCTCCTCTGGTAAGGTCAGGCAGGGGTTTCCGGCTGCCTTGCTGGATTTTTAGTGTAGGCTCTGCTTCACTTCCTGCCGTAACTTCTGTGCAGGACCGTTCCTAGGCTCAATCTGTAGGAGGTTGCTGATGTCTGCAAAGCTGGATTTATAGTCCTAATAAAATCAAGGACAGGAGTGTGGGGAAGATTCCCCAACTGGGGTGGGAATAGCTGCTGAGGCAACAAAGTGTTTTCAAACCCCAGCTCACAGAGAGGCCTGCCCTGAGTGAACCCAGGCCCAGGATGAGACAGAAAAGCTGCAGATATTGCCTCAGCTTGGCTACACCCCATAAATGCCGCCACTGACATAAATCTCTGTAGATATGTTGAGACCTTTCAGCCAGGATTTTTTCTTACCTTGAGTGCCTTGTGGGCTTGAGCCCGTCTGTAGAATGCCTTCACATTCTTTCCATCCAGCTTGAGGGCTTCTGTGCAGTCCTTCACTGCTTCCTTGTACTGCTTCAGGACCAAATAGCAGAGTGCTCTAAAGGGGAGAGACCATTTCGGAGGTTTCAGTCACTTCTTATGGGCCACCCACATGCTGCGAAGTAGCTTGAGACGTGATCTACAAGTTGGTGAACACCTACTCTGTGCTGGTTACTTTATAGCTTCTTAAATCCTCACGGATGAAACATGCTGGCTCAGAAAGGTAAAAGTACCACCAGCAGTGAGGGGCAGACCCTAGATTCAAATAGGCAGGAAGTTTGTTTGTGGGACTCCAGATCCTGATGTCATTTAGTTCTGTCACACTGTACTGTACTCTCCTATACTGAGCTCTTTTAAGCAAAGCCTTTCCCTTGACAGATTAAAAAATTATCTACTTTAAGGACAAAAACTGAATACTGAACTCTAATGATGTAATGCTGACACAGGGGTGAAATATAAAGATGTGTGCAATTTACTTTGAAATGCATCAAAGACTACAGACCAACAGATGGCTAAATAGCAAATATAACAATAATAATTGTAGAATTTAGATGGCAGGTATATGGATGTTCACTGTAAAAAATCTTTCAAATTTCCTATATTTTGAACATTTTCATAAAATGTTGGAAAAAAGTCATGTACATCCATACAACAAAATATTCTGCATCTGTGTTTAAAAAAAGTGCATGTGTGTGTCTATCTTCCTCATTCAATTCCAGTCCTTCTCTCCAAAGACAGTCACTAAAAACAAAGCAGTCCAGTGTCTGGGAGCTCATTACATAAGTTAATCCATTCCACCTCACTGTTTTCAGTGGGTGCAGGGTATTCACGAAGTTGGATGTAGCATAATTTGTTTCAGCAATTTCTTATCGAGAGGTATTTTTCATTGTTTCTAGTTTGCAAATAAATGATGCCAGGATGAATATCCGCGTGCAAGGGACTGCTGTATCCAAAGATACGTGCATTCTGAAATCTGGCCAGGTGTGGTGGCTCATGCTTATAATCCCAGCACTTTGGAAGGCTAAGGTGGGAAGATCAGATGAGTCTGGGAGTTTAAGACCAGCCTGGGTAACATAGAGAGACCCTATCTCTTGCCCAAAAAAAAAAAAAAAAAAAAAAAAAGAAATTTGATTGTTACTGCCAAAATGCTTTGCAAAAAAAGCTGAATAGTTATTGACAGAGGCTATTTTCCTACAACTGTACCAACTTTGGGTCTTAAATTTTAATTTGTGCCAAGATGGAAGAAAGCAGTATCTTAGTTGCTTTAAATGTGAGTAAAGCAGAATATCCTTACGTAAGGGTTTTAATTGTATGAAATCAAACTTCTCTAACTTTAATGACTTCTGTAACATTTTCTTTTCCTTCACACAAGAATACCTTCCCCACTGTAAGACATTTAATCCATGTGTTCTTCTAGAACTGAATGGTTTCACTTTTTACATTTCAAACTGTGATCCACTTAGAATTTATTTTAAAATAAGAAGTAAGGTAGGACTCAGGTTTAACTCTAACCAGGGCAACCCATCACCTCTTATTAAATAATCTCTCTTTTCTCCATTCAAGGAAGAAAGCTTTAGAGGATTCCAGCCCAGATTCTCTCATGCTGTTGTTCTTTTTTTTCTAACAAACTTTGGAATCATAATCATGAATTAGAAAACTGCACTAGTTCTTTGTAATTGCATGGAATTTATAAATTAACTGAGAGAAAAACCTTCGTGTAGCAACTTAAAAGACAGGCACAAATTCTTCGGCACTCCTCCCACTGAGGGGTCTCTGCTCTCTCTCTGAATTTAGGCAGGCTCTATGACTGCTGTAACAGAGGACAGAGGAAGGGACATGATGTGACTTCCAAGGTTAGGTCATTAATAGGCCTTGCAGCTTCCACCTTGGTCTCTGGAAACACTTGCTCTTGGAGCCTTGAACTGACAGAGAAGAAGCCAACGACTCTGAAGCCACCACGCTCCCAGGAAGCTCACGCCAGCACACATGAAAAGGCTGCTAAGAAAGTGGAAAGAGATGCCAGCTTGCTCTAGCAGTTCCATCGCCCAGCCATTTTAAGTCAAGCAGCCCGACTGCCAGACATTCAAGGAAGAAATCTTTAGAGGATTCCAGCCCCAGCTACCATCTTGCTGACCCTGCACGAGAGACCCCAAATGAGAACTGCTCTTCCCTAATTCCTGACTCACAAATTACAAGCAAAATAAAATGGACCACCAAGTTTTAGGAAAGTAGCCCCCGTTTTAAACTTTGGACACAGAGGCATTCTTCTTTCTCAGCAGGGACAGAGTGAGACTCTGTCCCCCAGGCTGGAGTGCAATGGCATGGCATGATCATGGCTCACTGCAACCTCCACCTCCTGGGTTCAAGCGATTCATTCTCCCACTTCAGCCTCCTGAGTAGCTGGGATTACAGGTGCATGCCACCATGCACAGCTAACGTTTGCATTTTTTGGTAGAGATGGGGTTTCACCATGTTGGCCAGGCTGGTCTCAAACTCCTGACCTCAAGCAATCTGCCCACCTTAGCCTTCCAAAGTGCTGGGATTACAGGTGTGAGCTACCACGTCTGGCCTGAACATAAAGGAATTCTGAGGAAACTAACATTTCCTCCCCGTGGGCTCTGGCAATTCAAATAAATAGCGGAAGTAGAGGAACCATAGTGTAAGCATTATGCACTGTATAGTGATTTCAGAATAGAAATGTGGTGATTAATAGGGTCGTGTGAGACTTCTAAAAACTATATTTAAGATAATCAAAAAGTGTAACTTCAGGCAACAAAATAAACACCCTTGACTTCTGGTAAATGAGCTGATTTTGTATCCAGCCAGAAGGGTTTTAATTACAAAGGGTTGGGAAGTAACACAAGTTAGTGAAAGGGAAATAAGCTTTGGAGTCACAAGGATCTGGCATAAATCCCAGCTGTCATGTATTAGTTGTTTAACTTTCTACTCATTAATTCATCTTTCTGAGCCTGATTAGGTAACACAGAACAATGATCTAAACCGAAGAACTGTTGTGAGTACAAATGAGAGCTGTTTCAGGGCTGGCAAGTTGTAGGTGCTATGCACTCAGGTGTCACCTGCACAAAGGGAAGCAAAGTAAGCCAAAGCCTATGCACTGTGTCATTCAGATGGGCGTACATGAGGTGGAGCCTTAGACTAGGTCCAAGATGTTCCAGGACATGGTAAAATGTTAGCCACAATGGCTAAAAATTCAGTTCTGTCATCAGTCCTCCAGATTAAATTATAAATCCAATGCAATCACAACCAAAAGCTGTCCAACAAGACATTTTTTGGAATTTGCCAAAATAATCTGAAAGTTTAGCTAGAAGAACATGGAAAAATACTAGGAGTACTCTGATTAAGAAGAATGAAGAAAAACCAGCCCTGTATCATAAAGCAGCAGTAATTAAAAGAGCATGGCACAGACAACTGCATGAAGAACAGTATTTAAACAAGACAAAACATGGCTCCACATGTGGTAATAATCCAGAAAAATGAGTTCATGGAGGTGTCCAGCAGCATACAGTAAGCAAGGTGAAAGAGGGCCCAGAGACAGAGGAGTTAGAAGATGCCGTACAAACACGGAACGAACAGGCTGCAGGCTTCTTTTTCAAATTAGCCTGGCAGATTAAGGCCCCTCTGATCCAATCAGCCATAAAACCACACAGAGCCACAGATGCAAAATTCCAAAATATAAGCTTTAAAATTACAAGTTCTCTTTCCAACTCTTTGGGCAGCAAAACCTGACCTGAACTGACATGAAACCACTTCGTTTCTCTATTCTACCGCCTGTGAACATGGAATTTCCAAGTTTCACTGGCAGAAATACTAATAATTAGCTTCTGCAAGGTCCCCCAGACTCTGCTGGGATGTTACATAATTCAGACATTATTACTTCACTAAAATGGGAAACATGGGTTTTTTGTGTTTTTTCTGAGACAGAGTTTTGTTCCATCGCCCAGGCTGGAGTGCAGTGGCACAATCTCAGCTCACTGCAATCTCCAGCTCCTAGATTCTCCTGCCTTAGCCTCCTGAGTAGCTGGGATCACAGGCGTGTACCATGTGCCTGGCTAATTTTTGGTATTTTTAGTAGACATGGGTTTTGCTGTGTTGGCCAGGCTCGTCTCGAACACCTGACGTCAAGTGAGCCTCCTGCCTCAGCCTCCCAAAGTGTTGGGATTATAGGTGTTGAGCCACCGCATGGCTGGGAAACAAATTTTATCCCAAGAGTTTGGAATAAAACAATGTGTCTATATTAGAACCCAGATTTCTGAACTAGAGAGTGGTATGTGTATGCTGGTAGGGAAGGAGAAACAGATTTATAACATTTTATAATAATGTTTATACTGTTTGGTTTTGATATGGTCCCTTGCTGAATGTTTCAAGCTTCTAAGAGTAAAACTAATAGGAAGATCTTGTTGGAGCCAGATTCTAATTCTGGCACCAACATTTACTGGTTGGGTAAGTTTAAGGCAAAACTCTTCCTTCTCTGAGCCTCAATTTTCTCAACTTTAAAACAGAAAAAGCGCCTACAGCTCAGAGCATTGTTGCAATCAGTCAGTCCTACACAGTGAAGGGACTGCGCCTGGCTCCCAGGCTGTGTCAGTCAGTCGTCACTGATGGCAGCTCCTGGTGCAAGGCTTTCCACAGGCTCACAAGTCTAACACCCTCAGGCTAGACTGCAGCCATCTTTCTTGTTCTTTGGCCAGGCAATGGTTACTTCATACTCTGGCTTCTGGGCCAGTACTCACAGAAATGGTGCCAAAATTTCTAATAGGAGAGTCTTTGAGAAGGGTAGGGAGTAGCGTGGTGGGATGGAGAGATTAAGAGACATATTAGGGTTGTGTTTGCAGAGCAAGCACACTGCTTTTACTTACATTGTATGCTTATGAAAATTCTGGGGACACGGGCCAACAAAGCCCAGGCTACCATTTGGCATCCCTCAGTTTCCGCCCTTTGGAGAGAATGAATGCCACTAGCTGTATCTAGCTCACAGCGTGGATGCAAGTTTTGAGCCATAACACACTTGATTAAATGCTAGGGATGAAGAGCCCATCACAATCCAAGAGAAGACTATGGAACAAAACATCCAATGTCCTGAAATGCCCCAGGCCAGCAGCTGTGTAGGAGATACCTGTTGCTGTATGTGGCAGACTCCAGGTTACTATACAAGAGGCTTTCACTGTACTTCTCAATAGCTTTCTTATGGCTTCCCTTCTTTACAAGCTCATTGCCTTCTTCCTTCAGAACTCTGGCTCTCTCCACATCCCCAGCAGAAGGCACTAGATACAAATTCAGAAGAGGAGAAAAACCATGGAGCAGCACCCAACTGAGATCAGGGAAATCTCTTCAGCATCATCCCTTCCAAATCGTCTACAATCCTCTCCCCCAGAGATTTCCTACACTGTTGTAAATCATCCTTCCTGATTAATGACTTCCAATTAATAGCTTCTGGGAAATTAAACAGTTTTTCATTAAGAAGAGGTTGGGGATTCCTGATATAAAAACATTTTTACATGCACATAAAAATATATACATGATAAAAAGCAACCCAGGTTCTAGCCTTGGCACTGCCTCGTGGTAGCTGGAAGATCTTATGTGACCTACCTAACTTTTGGACCTCAATTTCCTCGACAATAAAATAAGGCAATACTTATTCAACAGATGGCTATTTTCAGGGCCAAATCTGAGACTACATAAGAAAGTACAGAACATACTATACACTTAAAGCAGGACAGTAAGTAAATAAATATTAATAAACATCTGCTAAAGAAAGTGTATAGCTTCTGGGCTATGAGAAAAGGGGAGAAGAGCCTGCTATTCCCCTCATCTCTGGTTTGGGCTGAGCCTATGAGTATCCTCCCTCATCTAACACGTGCAGCTCCGCTCCAGCCTTCAAGGAGAGAAAGCAGAGACAACAAGGTGAAATCCAAGCTGCTCAACTTGGTGTTCAGGCCCTTCACTGCTTGGCTCCAATTAATTATTCCAGCCTCAGCTCTGTATCACCTGCTTTAAAAATTTTTTTAAACTATCTTTATAAAATATTAAATATTTATGACCAGGATAAGATTATAGGTTTACACCCCAAATTCATCACCTGGTTTAAGAAAAAGAACTAGGATCTTTGAAGTCCTGGGGACCCACCCCAATTAAGTCTACTGCTGGAGGAAACACCCCCAATTCTGTGCTTCTTCCCCATCTTTTTTTAAACAGTTTAACTGTATAGTACCCACAGACCATTTGTTGTTTACTTTTTGAACTTCATACAGAAGAATAAATGAGTCTGTGTATTCTTTTGTGACTTGGTTTTTCTTTTTCCCCTTAACATTATATTCCTCAGATTCATCTGCGTTGATGCACAGGCCTGCAGCTCCTTCATTTTCACTGCTGCAAGACCATAGCTGGATTGTCCATTCTCCCATTTATGGAGATCTGCGTTATCTCTGGTGGTTTTTTTCTATTACAGTCTTCTATGAACGTTCCTGTGTACATCTCCCTGTGCACACACACTCAGCTTTCTCTAAAGGTAGGGCTTCAGCTTCACTGGCACCCTGCAACACACCACTCTCTGCAGTCATACTTATTCCCACCATTCCCCACCATGCACTTTCATTCTCCAACTCTCTCCACTGTCTCTGCCAAGGATTCTCCTTTCTTCCCACCTGATGACCTCCTTCTTCAAGGTCCGGCTCAAGGCTCCACCTCCACTGCCACCCCTCCTGAGTCTTTCCCCAACTCCCTCATGCACTTAAGTCAGTGTCTATCCTGAACTTCTCAAACACTAAGACTCTAAAGCACATGTCCCTCTTCCTTGTGTTTTAAGACCGTGCTGATGTCTCAGTCCCTCATTTGATGGAGAGGTCCCTGAGGGCCAAGACTTCCTGTCCTCTGTGTCACCCTGCTTAGCATACACACGGCTTGGAACACATGGCTCAGTGACCCCAAAAGAATGAAATCAATGGTAGGTGCACTGATGCCATCAGGTTCATTAGCACCTGACATTTTCATCCTAGAGAAGAGTGGGGAACACTTACCAGGCTCCTACAAACCAGAATGAACGTTACCCATGACCAGATAGGCATTCTCCTATAGAAGGTGAGTAACTTTTGTCCTCCCCTAACACCTAAAGGTCACTTACAATAGGCAGGCCTCCATCTCTGATCCCTTCTGCACCTGCCTCAATCCCTAGCTTGCTGGGCTGGGACCCTTCTCCTGGAACATTAAAAGAGCTTCCTAGTGCCTGACAAATGGCTTCTTCATTTCACATAAGTTGAAGTGAGGAGTCTCCTGTTTTTGGCTGCCTAGCTTGGATCTCCCTTCTTTTCTTCATGCTTCCCCAGGGATTCCCACAGTGCATACGCTCCTGGGAAGCATCACCCTCTAGCTCTGGAGGTGGGGCAGTTGCCTCAGGGCTGACCTAATCACAAAATCTCATCTCCTGGTTATGGTGTGTACTTCAAAGAATGGCCTGTCACCAAGAAAACCAGAATAGATTGAAAAATTGATTGAGAAAATATATGAGCTACAGCATTTTAGGGCAAAAAAAAAACCAAAAAAACCCTATCTTTTCCCAGTGAGCTACCAGAGAAAGACTTTCTTTCTCTGGGTCATGAGGCATGGGTTATGGATGTGAGGCCAGGAACTGCTATAGCTATTTTGCTACTAGGAGGGAAGCTTGCCAAAGACAAAGCTGACACACAACAGAGAAGAAGCTGAGGTAAGTGCAGAAAAATGAAGTTAGTCTGTGAATACAGTAAGCTGTTAGAGCAAACCTTGCCTGACCTCTCTCTGGATTTTTCAGTTTTATGAGCCAATAAATTCCCTATACTATTTTTACTCTGTTGAGCTTTCTGTTTTTGCAACCAAAAACATCCTAAGTAATATATCCCAAGTGCTATCGGAGGAAAGAAAAGGGAACTCACACTGCATGCCTATGTGCCAGGCTGAGAGTTTTGTGTGTCTTATGTCATTCAGTCCTCATAGTTTTGAGGAAGACTTAATCATCACCCTCACTATACAACTGAGAAAACAATCTCTAAGAGGCGAAGACTTCTATTTTGTTGCTAAGATTATTTTTATAACTTAACTAAACAATGCCGGTTTTTACAGGACTACTCTAAAGAAAACGGATACCAGGAGATTGCAAGACTCTGGGCAGAGTCACAGCTCACCTCTGTTCTTTGTAGTTGTGGTTTCTTTGGATTTGCTTTTAGCCATCTCTTTGTGGTTCTCTGAAGGCAAGGAATTCCATCTCTTCTGAGCTGAAACAGGCACCAAGGGAATAGAGGGCAGCTTCAGGCGCCACTCAGGCCCAAGCGAGTCCATGAGAGCTCTGGTCATTCTGGAAGGGAAGGCAGGATTGCAGGGAGGTTTCCAGCTGGGTCAAGATATTTCTCCTTTCACACACCCGAGGGAGGTAGGCCTTTTCAGAAGAGCCAGAGCTGTCACCCTTCCCCTCATGTGAACCACCTCTTTAGCTCCTCCAATATGCTGCAATATAGTAAGAGGAGGCTGCCACCGTAAACGCCATCTCAGATCAGTCACCATGACACTCCTTGAGCTTGGTTATACTCTGTTACCTTTAAAGTGGTGATCTGTTGCTTGTTAAGGATACTTAAACCATGATCCAAAAAGACTACTTTCTCCAAGAAAGAATCATACGTTTTGTTTCATATTTTATCAATGAATTGAGTACACAATTGTGCAAGCGCCTGACATTTGTTTAATGCTCAGGCTTTTAAAAAAATGCAAATCTTATGTCATTCTCGAATCCTACAACTCCTTAGGGGTTCCCAGTTCCCTAGGCTACTGTGGCCTGTGAGATCTGGTCCTCACCCTTTCTTGTCCCACTTCACTGTGAGCCATATTCCCTTCTGATCCTTCTATTCAAGACTTTGCACGTGCTTTTTCCTCTACCAGAACAATTGCTTCTATTTTGGAAAAAAGACTGCCACTTTCCAGGCCCTTCCAGCTAACTCCAACTTATTCTTTAGATCTCGGCTTAAAACACTACCCAGGGACCAAGTTCTTTTTGTCAACTGATCTCCAGCACCTGGTATATCACCTGGCAACCACCAAGGCCCAATCCGGTATGTGTTGAATGAGTGAATAAAGCTAACCATACACTTCTGCGTATGGTTACAAGAATGAAAACCACATAGACTGATATCACTACAAATTCCAAGAGGTCTCTGACTAGGCTGTTTTCCTGGTGGCCAAGCTATTTCGAACCTCTACTCTCCTCAAATCTGTTCCCTGGCCCTTCCCCTTTTTTAGAGCAAACTTCCTCATACCCCAAGTACAAACCTACCTGTCTGGGTGCCCAATCATTCCTATTTCTCTCCTGTCACAACGAAAGAGACAATGGGACCAATCCTCCTACTTATGCTCTGGATACCATCTCCTCTTGTCTCTTTCAGGGACCACACCCAGGCAGCACCTCCCTCGCCCACATCTTCATCCCTTCTCTCTACTAACTCCAACCATCAGCATTTAAGTCCCTTTAACTCTTTCTTCATTTAATAAAACCACATCAGACACCCGTTGCCATCCCAGCTACACTCCCTGGTCTCCCTTCAAGCCTGACTTTTTGAACACATTGCCCTCTGGCTCCTGATTCCACTGACCAGCTTCTATCAGAGCCACCAGTGGCTTCACTGTTAAACCTTCAGTTAATGTAAGCTCCTTGGAACACCTGACACTAATGATGTCTCCATCATTCTTGAAATACTCCTTCCCTTGGGACATAAATGCCCTGTTTCCTTCCACCTCTCCAGCTGCTGTTCCTCTGTAAGTCGCTCAAATGCTGGAGTTTTGCAAAGCTCCATCCTCTTCCTTCTACACACTTGCTGTGATGTTCTTTTTCTCTCTCATAGCCCTAATCCACCTCTATGCCAATGACCCTCAAATCCGTATTTATCTGGCCTGTATTTTACTCCTTTACTCCATGTAAATACTCAACTGTCTTACTTACATCTCTAATCTCATGTCCCATAGTCACCTCCAGGTGAACATGTCAACAATCTGGGTGTCTTCTATTCTTCCCTTCTTGCTACCCCACAATCACTAAAATTTGTTGATATACTTCCTACATGTCCCCTGAATTGGTCCCACTGTTTTCTCTCCACCCTCTCCCCTGGATTGCTGCATGGCACCTTCCTATTCTGTTGCCTTTCATATCATCCCTCAACATGGCAGCAAAGAGCTTTTCTCTAAAATACAAATCTGCTCATGTTGCTCCACTGCTCAAGACCTTTTCATAAAGCCTCACTTGCTCATGATTAAGTCCAAGCCGCTGAACACTGGGTCTTGTGTGACTTGGCCTCACCAATCTGTCCCAAGCTGAGCCCCTGCCTGCAGCACCACGTGAAACAATCTTCTTACAATTCCTGTGATCTGTCACACTTGCTCACCCTTGCACACGCTGCTTTGTCTTCTGGCTGGCCCCCTACCCCGTATCTCTCAGTCTTAGCTCACCTCCTCTGAAAAGCTCTCTCTGGCCTCCCTCTCTCCCTCTCAGCTGGCTAGGTGGTTCCTTTCTGGCCTCAGAGCCCCTTTGCTGCCTCCTACCATGGCACTTATCATGTTGTACCGTGCTTTCCTATTACTGACTGGTGTCCTCCCTGAGACCAGGACCTCTATGAGGGCAGGAAGAGGTATGTCTCAGTCATCAACCCAGGTCCTAGAGCAAAGTCTGTCACATAATTGGTAGATTTTGTGGAATTCAGCTCAACTAAAAAGGAGGCGCCTGATGATAGAGCAAAACTTTATCTCAAAAAAAAAAAAAAAAAAAAAGGAGGCAAAGAGAAAACAAAGGATGCTGACAGACAAGCCAAACCAGAAATAAATGAAGCACTAAATACACAGCATCAAGTCCTGTTAAGGGTTTGCTATTAGTGTAGTGTTTGGCTTTCTAGCAGGACACGCAGAGGGGAAACATGATCAGTTATACAAATGACAATATCCATGATAAAAGCCAGTAACTGCTCAGAGACCGGAAAGGAAGTGCACCTGGGGAACCTCTTGGAGGGGTCACAGCACTACATACTGAACCACATCCACAAACCATATCCCTTTAGGCTTGTCATAGCTGCTTGGGCTTGTGTCTTATTCTTCCAATTAGCTCTCTGAAGATAGGTGAGGTCTGTGTTTCTTTCTCATTTTGGCATCCCCCACTGAACCTGGCACAATACCTTAAACAGTGCATGATAAATATTACTCTGTACATAAATGCTCTAAGGCACAGGTAGGCAAAAATCAATCAATCTTAGTAATTCTTACTCCCTGAAAACCTGCTAAATACAAAAGCAGATTTTCCTTTCACACCTTCCCCTAAATGCCCATTGGGAGTTTTCTAAGTGTAGCTGAAGGGATCCCCTCAGAAGACAGACAAGGCAACAGCCCATAGCCAGTCAAGAAGGATAGGGAGTTGCCATGGAGACTGTCTGCTATGAATGGAGCTCACCTGTTGATGCCTTCTAGGGCTGACGTCACACTATCATCAATCTGCAGCACAGTCTTATAGTCAACATAGGCCATAGGGTACTTCTCCAGAGCCTCATAAGCAGATGCTCGCCGCAGCAGAGGCTTAATGCTGAAGGGAATCAAGACCAGTGCTCTAGAATAGAAGGCAAAAATGTCAACTGGCTGCTGAGCCACCAGGGTTTCCCTAGATTCTTCCAGGAAGGGTTATTTGGAGCACTCGGCGTACAGGAGGTAATTTTTGGCTGAGAGACACAACTAAAAATGCCAAACCTCAGAACAGGAATTTTTCAACTTAGATTGAGGTGAGGAGGGGAAAGAGGGCAGAGGAACATCAATTTTGCTAACTGTGTGTGCACGTGCATCACTTTTCATAGTTTCAATTCTCCCAGAATCAAGAACAAGTGCCTCATGGCTTTCATGCTACTATGTGTTTCTAAGTTGTGTTCTAGTGGGAATAACAAACGAGCTTTGGAGTCGGGTGGGTGGTGTCTTAATTCCACCTCTGCCGCCAACTATGTTACCCAGGTAAATCGCTTTACTGCCCAACCCTCAGTAACTAAGTTCTGGCCTGGGATACACAGTAAACGTATCCCACAGATTGGTCCTGAACACTCAAAGAGGGAAATCTAGCACAGGGCCTGGTACAAATTAATTCAGCACAGGCTCCGTGAGGACGCTCACATCCCTCCTCCTCTCCTGGCTATCATCAGGGCATGAATCTAAAGCAATGTCACAGGACATCAGAGCTGAGAACACATCTCATGTAAATGTTTGAGTTTAATGATGATAAAAGAATATTAGACTGGCTTGAAGAAGAGGTATGAAAAATTGTTCAGTGTCCTCTAAACTGGTCATTCATGAATACCATTTTTTTTTTTATGGTGAAAAGATATACATATATTTAGAATTAGCCAGCTGGACTGTTTAGATGATCCCAATTTTGTTTGCAACATCCAAAGCATCGTAATCAGGAGCCAGTCGAACATATGCCTTCTTCTCTCCATCAGGCCGAATCAGGGTGTTGACCTTGGCCACATCAATGTCATAGAGCTTCTTCACAGCCTGTTTGATCTGGTGCTTGTTGGCTTTAACATCCACAATGAACACAAGTGTGTTGTTGTCTTCTATCTTCTTCATGGCAGACTCAGTGGTCAGTGGAAACTTGATGATCGCATAGTGGTCAAGTTTGTTTCTCCTGGGGGCGCTCTTCCGAGGATATTTGGGCTGCCTCCGGAGTCGCAGTGTCTTGGGTCGCCAGAAGGTGGGTGACGTGCGGATCTTCTTTTTTTTGTGGCTGTGGACACCTTTCAACACTGCCTTCTTGGCCTTTAAAGCCTTCGCTTTGGCTTCGGCTTTAGGAGGGGCAGGAGCTTCCTTCTTCGCTTTCGGTGCCATCTTGTGAAAAGGGTCCATGAATACCATTTTTTTCCTTTCTCCTTGCTTCTTCTGAGATCATCTATTAACCTCTATTCCTCCTTTGTTCCTTTGCTCCCTTCCCCTCACATACTCCCATCCCCGGAAAACACCTGGGAAACCCAGTTACTGGTCTGCAACTCTACCTCATCCCCAGGTTTCAAATCTCACAAAGACTTGAAGGCCTACTTCTAACTGCCCATCCCACTCCTTTTTCAGCAGCAGAGCCAAGACTCCCAGACACAAGTCAGGGGCCAAGTCTCTACACAAGTAGAGACCCCCCAATCTCAGTGACCTGGTAAAACTCAGTGACACTTTCTTAATATCTGTTCCAGATGTAAAGAATGGAATCCTTCCAAAGAAGAAACAAGCCAGATTAACCCAGCCTCCTCTTCTGAGACCCTCAGGTATCCCAAAGTTACCCTCGGCCACTTACGAAGTGCAATCTTTGATGCAGTCTCTGCAGTTTCCATCCTTCAAGTGACATGCTGCTCGGTTGGAGTAGAGAACACTTTCTTCTTCTGGGTTTGAAGAACCTGCCCAGGTAGAGTAGAAAGATTATCAATTGGGAAATGGATGCCTCAGGGCACTGGGATACATTTCATACTCAGAGTTCTTTGGGCTTTGTGTTAAGGCAGAAGAGATAACTACAACCTGATCAGGCTTGTTGGTCTGCTGGGCTGGTATGTTTGTCATTCTTATATGACAGCAAGGACACTGAGCTTTCTGCCATTCACAGTGAACCAAGTATCTCCTCATTCACTCATTTCAGCACTGAACTTGGTAACAGACAAAAGACATACATGGAATAGCTAGCTCCTGCCTCAAAGATCCATGCTGTACTACTTGAGTTTGGGTAAGTGGATGGATGGGTGTGTATTTTATTATCAAAAGCATTTAAATCCAATAAAGAAGAAAAGAAAGAAAAAGAACAAGATGATAAATGCCATGATAAACAGATTTACCAAAAGTTGCAGGGTCACTAAGACCCATGAAATACATGAGATTAGTTTTACTTGGTCAAGCCAGAGAGAACTTTGTCAGGGAAATGATAATTGAGCTGGGTGTGATAGGAGTACAGAGAACTTAACCAGGAAAAAGCCTTAAGCTACCCCATGGGAGAGTTATTAGACATTTTTCTAAAGGCAGTCCTTACCCTCAAGGAATTGCAGAGGCTCAAGTCCTTCACTGTGGCCAAAGTAATCTTTATTTATTTATTTGAGACAGAGTCCTGCTCTGTCGGTCGCCCAGGTTGAAATGCAGTGAAGGGATCTCCACTCATTACAACTCTGCCTCCTAAGTTCAAGCAATGCTCCTGCCTCAGCCTCCTGAGTAGCTGGGATTTACAGGCACCTATCACCACACCTGGGTAGACTAATTTTTGTATTTTTATTAGACAGGGTTTCACCATGTTGACCAAGCTGGTCTTAAACTCTTGTTGTTCTCAGGCAATCTGCCTGCCTCAGCCTCCCAAAGCAGTGGGACTACAGGCATGAGCCACCATGCCCAACCAACAATGATCTTTATTTTTAAAGATAATTTTCAACCACTTCATACCCACTAGGGTGGGCCATAATTGTTAAAAGAATTGAAAACAGGCTCTCTTTGAAAATTTTGAAACATACAGAAAACAATTATCTCAGATTTAACATGTTACATTATCACTATATTTAGCACGTTATATTAGTTCCCAACTTTTTTAATTTTTAGTTTTTAGAGACAGGGTCTCACTCTGTTGCCCAGGCTGGAGTTTTGTGGGCTGATCATAGCTCACTGCAGCCTCAAACTCTTGGGCTCAAGTGATCTTCCTGGCTCAGCCTCCCAAGCAGATAGGACTACAGGTGTGTAGCACCATGCCCCACTAATTTTTAATTTTTTTGTAGAGACAGAGTTCCACTGTGTTGCCTAGGTTGGTCTTGAATGCCTAGCCTCGAGTGATCCTCCTGCTTTGGCCTCCCAAAGAGCTGGAATTATAGGCATAAGCCATGGCATCTGGCCCTTTAAAAAATTTTTGATATGGCTAAAACTGCAGCCATCCCCATCCTTATCCCTGTGCTCCCTCCCCAGACCCCCAGAGGCCAGTACAATCCTGAAGTGGGTATGTAACATTTTTCAAGCATGTTCATCTACGTTTACATATATAAACATAGACTGACACATTTATATACACGTGTGTGTGTGTGTAACAGGTCAGATACCATTTTATGTCTATTAAAGCTTTTCCTAAGAGGTATCATATTGCCTATCCTTCTGCAACTTACTTTTTTCACTAAGTATCCTGTTGCCATGTTGATATTTGATATCTTTCATTCAATTCTAACAAGAACAAGTGTTTTCCTTTTCCCATCTTGTTTTGCCAGACCCAGAGACAGAAAGTACAGAGACTAGTAAAATACATCCTTGCCCTTAAGAAGCTAAGTATAAGTACCCAAAACCTGTAATCCATCTTGAGTCACCAGTGTTGGAATTCACTTGGGGTGGCTGGCAAAATAGTACAGAAATATTAGGGAAAGTTATAGATTATAGTCTCAAACCTTTTGGAACACCAAAAGGTTTTAATGGGGGCAGGCTGAAGACAGCCAGTCCATTATTAGGGAAGAGATAAGGATGATAAAAGGCTTTCCCAGTTTAAGTCTGTTTACCCCACATCCCTTTGTCTCTACTGTGTTTACTCACGTAAACTTTGTGCTGGATGGCCCTCTCAGGGGCAGATTAAAGGGGAATTATCCGTTTAATAGTGTTTACTCTGGGCCTGGAACCTAAAGCTTTTATCATTCATAAAACCACTCTTTTAACCATGTTAATTATCCACAAGTGTGTTGACTTAGAACCTCAGTTATGAAATCTTTACAGAATAAAGAGGTGGATGTACAGGGCGTCTTGGTTGATTGGCTGCATTTTACCCTTTAAAGGCAGCCTACGACCATCCCTAGCTAACTTGAATCACTGAAATAGTGTGAGAGTGCATTTATTCATCCGTCACTGAGTCAGGGTTCACAGGACAGACCTCTGCAGGTGGTGATAAACATCTCAACCAGAGCATGATTGCTCAGAAACAGCAGTGGTGTGGTGGAAAGGGCATGAGATCCTGCAATCCTGACAAGTCACTCAATCCCTCTGATCACATGTGCCCACCTACCATGAGGATATTACTTCACAGACTTGCTGGAAGGGTTCATTGTGTTAGGCTGTTCCCTGAGCTCCCTTCATGATCAAGAAGACTGATGAGAGAAATCAAGAGACTTGCCCAAAATTACCTAGAAAAATCTGTAGCAGTAGCAGAACCAAACTCTGGTCCTTGATAAATCTAGATACCAGGCTAGCTTTTCTATGGACCCAGAATTAACCAATACAAACGTGCAAGATTTTCCAGATAAGCTAGGGTGAGGTGAAAGAAAATGGCAGCAACATCAATACCTCAGCTTCCTCAGCAACTTCGTCAAGTAAGACTGACATGAGGAAGTGGGCCTAAAGGGGAGTTTTCCAGAAAAAAAGAAGCTGGCAAAAGAGTGGCTTGAAACTGCAAAAAGTGCAGACAAAAAAAGAGTGAAATTTGGAGAGGATCTGAGAAGTCTAGCAAAATGATTGAAAAATTGGACTTAGCATCAAAATCAAACAGATCCATATTCAAATCGTGGCTCTGCCATGTCTTCATCGTGTAACCCCGAGGGAGGCAACTTAACTCTCTTGGACTCCTCCTTTCTAAGCGTATTATCCACAAGGCCATAATAAAGATCAAAGGAGATCATGTCTAAAATGTCTAGCACATGGTAAAGCACTCAACAGATGCTAGCCAAGAAAAGGGAAAAAAGGAAGGTGGCAAAGGGATATAGGTATTAACGGTGACTCACAGAGAACAGGATCCAAGGCTCCTTTCAAACGTCAAGGCTTTAACCAATGGGGGTTTCTGAGTAAGTCACTCTAGAGAAGGGGCTTTGGGCAAAGGTTGCGGTATGCTGAAGCAAGCTGGACGCCTGGAGAAGTGGTAAGAATATGTATCAAACTCTCCAGTAGCTTCCTATCAGGGCATAGAATCCAAACTCAACAGGGTTTAAAACACCTGCACAATCAGGGTCTGCCTACCTACCCGACCTCATGTCTTCCTCTTCCCTCCCTTGGCTCACTATGCTTTGACCCCCGAAACACACCATATTTATACCTTCTGGGGGGGCTCTTCTCATTGCAGTTCGCTTCGGGTCCCAAAACATTGTGCACTTGGCTTCTCATCATTTAGACATTCTTCAGAGATGCTGCCCTTGATCTCCCACTCCAGTCAACTCTATCACATCACCCTGTCTGTCTGCTTCCTAATCCTGATTATCCCCAAGGTCGCTTACTCGCTGAAGACCCACGCCCTCCCCACCGCCCCCACAAGAATGTGCTGTCCTTGAGAGAAGGGACTTTCTGTGTCTTGTTACACAGGCGGTCTCTTAACAGCTACTCAACAACTACTACTTGAAAATGAATCGCTGCGGGGGAGGAGGGTTTAGCTCTAGCCTCAGGGCTCAGAACGAGGCCTAAATAACTTAGGATGGGGGCCAACAGGGCGGTTAACAAGCAGGTGGAAAGAAAGGGCCGAGGAAGTTTCTGGTAGGATGCCGGAGTCGGAAGGGGCTGGAAGGATGGGAGGGAGGGCCGGGCAGGACTGCCGGCTACCGGCGGAGGGAGGCCCGGGCGGTGGTTGCGGGGGTCGGAGGAGCAGGCCAGAGGTGAGACGGGGGTCGGGGTCGTACCTTGCGCCTGCAACACCCGCAGCGCGCGGCCGTAGAGCGCGGAGGCCTCGGCGTACTGGCCGTTGCGGAATCTCTCGTTGCCGGCGGCGCGGAGCTCCTCCACAGAGTCTGGGAATTTGGGGGCCATCCCGCGGCCAGACCAGCGAGTGGGGGGGTTCCTTCCTTCCTCCCTCGTGTGGTGCCGCACAGCGTCCCGGCGGAAGCCGGCGCCGAGTCTCTCCGCCCCACAGAGAACCCGGAGCGTCGGGGGCGGGGCGGAGTTGGGGGCCTGCGCTACCTGGGGAGCGCCCCGCCCTCTGCGCATGCTCGCAACTTAGTCTCCTCTCGCACGCGGGTGGCTGAAGCAGAGTTGGGCGCTCTGCGTTTCTAGAACGCTGTGGATGACTCAGGGAAGGATGCCGGCCCCGCTCTCAGGGAGTTTATGTCCTAGTGGGTCCTAGTGGGGCCCCACAGGCCATTAACTGATAAGCAAACGAAGACGCTAATTTCGTGTGATTAGTGCCTTAAGGAAAACAAAACAGAATAATACAACAGAAAGTGACCACGGGAAGGCCTTTCTCAGGGGGTAATAATTGAGCTGAGACCAGGCAAGATTTAGGGAATGCTGGTCCAGCCAGAAGGATGGTAAGTGCAGAGGTTCCAACGCTAGAAAGTACCTGGCACCTATAGTCTATGTTTATTTAATAAATTAATGCACAGGTAGATTGATGGTGTCAAAGTCAACATGTAGAGGTGAATCTCTCGAGTTTAAATGTTTTATTTGGGAATCAAGAATTGCAACTCAGGGCTTACACACAGACCGAGTTGTCTTTGGTGTGTCAGAAGAACAAAGAGAAGGCTTGGAGATTTTATAGAACAGAAATGTTACGTATTATTCTTCAAGGAAGTTTACTGGCACTAGTAAAGTGGGGGTTTAAAGTGGGGGTTTACCAGCTCCTTGGAGGGCTGGCAAGCTTTGATTGGTAAGTGATGGTGGTGGATAAAACTCAGGATGGTAACAGGCTGTTTCAGTAGCTATTAGATAAAACTGGTTTGAGGTTACAGCAGGCACTTTTAGCAGCCAGGCTTGCAAAAAATAACTTTTTTGGAACAATGTTATATGCCCTGAGTATTTGTTCCCCTGGCTTTTCAATTCTTAGTTGACAGAATTGTCAGGACAAGATTGACTCAGTTTGTATGATCAAGGTTCCGAACGGATGAAGATCTTTCACGGAGGGTGACTTCAGTTTATCTCCAGCCTCATCTGACGTTTCTGTGTCCCACGCATTGCTGTCTACGCATACCAAGTTCTTGCTTCCTAGCCTTTGCTTGTTATCTCGTTCTCCTGCAATGTTTTTTCTAAATACTTTTACTCCTGCCTAATCCTGAATTAACTTATAACATTCAACTCAAACATCATCTTCTCTGAAAGCCCTTCCTGATTCTAGACTCCTCTCCACCCCACACTGTGCTCCCTTTGCTCCCTATTGGTCCCTAGCTTTATCCCTAACTTTGCATTTGTCACCTTTTGATTGTTAGTTTGTAGTTTTTCTAAAACTGTGAGGTCTTTAATCGCAGGAAGTGGGTCCTTTTTATCTTTGTTAATCCAAGACCTAATAGGGTCTGGCATCCAATAAAATCATTGATTGACAAAGACCTAGTCTCTACCTTCAGGAATTCAGTTATAATGATCTGCATACACTTAACTCCACCAGAGTATAAGCTTTCTGAGGGTTGGATGACTTCCATCTGAACTGCTTCCCCTTGCTCCCACCCCCCACCAAGGATGAACCCTGACGGTGGTGGGAAAACTAGGTGAAGCCTGTACTCTGGCTGGCTACTCAGTGACTTCCATCTTTGCTTCCAGGAGGCTGAATTTTGCCTGAGACTCTCCCAGGCTGGGGAAGTGAATCAGGATTGCTCTAAGCCAATGAGAAAAATGCTACTTTCTTCTGCCAGTTGTTCATCAAGGGATGCACATGTGACCCTGATCTGGGCAATGAGATAAAAGGGAATCTGCTAGGTCCTCATGGGAAAAGTTTCCTTCCCTATAAGAGAGAGGTAGTGGATCAAGCAGCCTTTCTTGCTCTCTTTCTGCTTTGGGTAGTGCTGGGTAAGGATGTGATATCTGGAGATGTGGTGGCCATTTTGTGACTGTGAGGCAATAAACGCAAGTGTGAAAAGCCAACATGCTGAATAGGATGGGAGGGGACAAATGAAATAGATATTGTTGAGTTACTGAATCAACTCTGGAACTGCTGACTTCTTGACTTTTAATAATAAAGGCAGGGTGTGGTGGCTCACACCTGTCATCCCAGCTCTTTGGGAGGCCAAGGCAGGTGGATCACTTGGGGTCAGGAGTTCGAGACCAACCTGGCCAACATGCGGAAACCCTGTCTCTACTAAAAATACAAAAATTAGCTGGGCGTGGTGGCACACACCTGTAATCCTGGCTACTCAGGAGGCTAAGGCAAGAGAATCACTTGAATCCAGGAGGTGGAAGTTGCAGTGAGCCAAGATCACATTGCTGCACTCCAGCCTGGGCAACACAGTGAGACTGTCTCAAAACAAACAGTAAATGCCATGGTACTTTAAGCCAACATTTAGATGTTTTCACTTGCTTGCAGCTGAGTATTTCCTGAGTGGTTTATCAGATAAGCATAGCTGTGGCAAATTTTATTTACCAAAAATGGCCCCAATAATATTTCTGGTTCCCCAAGCTCTTCCAGACCCCTTGCCACTGCCCTATGAGGAGGTAGAGTCTACATCCCTTCTCCTTGAAACTGGACAGGCCTTTGTGGCCCCCTTCCACAGTGGTAATGACATTAAGTATCTTCCAAAGCCATGCCACTAAAAGGCACCACAGCATCATCTTGGCTCTCCCTCAAGAACATATTTTAGAACCCAGGCTTTATTGGCTGGGTGTGGTGGCTCACGCCTGTAATCCCAGCACTTTGGGAGGCTGAGGCGGCAGATCATGAGGTCAGGAGTTCAAGACCAGACTGGCCAACGTGGTGGAACCCCATCTCTACTAAAAAATACAAAAATTAGCTGGGCATGGTGGTTCATTCCTGTAATCCCAGCTACTTGGGAGGCTGAGGTAGAAGAATTGCTTGAAGTGGGACCAGGAGGCAGAGGTTGCAGTGAGCTGAGATTGCATCATTGCACTCCAGCCTGGGCTACAGAGCGAGACTCCATCTCAAAAAAAAAATAACTCAAGCTTTATTTTGTGAGGAAGCTCAAGAAAAGTGGAGCTGCCCTCAGCCCTCAGACCCAAGTGAGCTCCCAGTCAACAGCCAGCACCACCCTGTCAGCGGTGTGAGATGCATTTGGGGCAGGGCCGATTGATCCTGATTGACACCATAAGCAGAGATGAGCCTTCCTGTTGAGCCGTGCTCAAATGGTAGATTTCTGAGAAGAAAAAAAGATTATTGTTCTGTGCCAATGAACTTTGGGGTGGTTTCTTGCACAGCAGTCAATACCTGGAAATCCCTTCCTGCAGTGCTTCCCATAAATGCCAGGACCGATAAAACAGTACTGAAATAATTTGAAGGAGGGACAGATGAGAGAGTCAGGGAAGGAACAGGGGAACAGAGACCTAAGTCTTCTAGGAAGAGGTGTCTTTTTTTAAAAACAGCTTTATTGAGATGTAACTCACATATGTTCACCCACTGAAAGAGTACAATCCAATGCCTTTTGGTATATTCAGAGTTGTAGAACAATTACCACAACCAATTTTAGAACATTTTCATCACTCCAAAATGAAATCTCACACCTTTTAATTAGTCCCTCCAATTTATCTATGCTTCTTTCCCCCAGGCCATAGGCAGCCGCTAATCCACCACAGGCTCTAAAGATCTGCCTATTCTGAACATCTCCAAACCTTCTAAAGTGATGCCATTAAAAGGCACTATAGCAAAGAGCATCATGCAACTTGCATCACACTGAGGGGCCTGGCACAGAAGTGGTGGTGGCATCACGCAGGGCCTGATCCATGGGGTCCAGGGTGACCATGTGGGTCATACAAATGGCATTACATAATATGTCATGCCTGGCTAATTTTTTTGTAGAAAAGCGGTTTCGCCACATTGCCCAGGCTGATCTTGAACTCCTGGGCTCAAGCAATCCTCCTGCCTTGGCCTCCAAAAGTGCTCAGATTACAGATGCACGCCATCACACCCAGTCCCTTGAATACTTGAAGGCAAATACATGGCAAATGATTAATTAATGTTGCTTATTTTATCCTGTTTTGGGCACATGGGATGCCATCCCTGGGTGGCCCTGAAGGGTGGGTGCTCAGGTGTTAAGTTCTGTAGATGGAATATCCCTGGGAAAGGCAAGGCAATTAAAAACAGTGAGAGGTTGCTCTGGTTAAGTTTTCTCCTGTAACTTTCCCCAGGGGTCAACTGGGTAGAATCTGCCATTTTCCTAATATTCATTGATGGTAGTGGCATTCAGAAGCGCAATAGCTGAAGCGAGAACTCACAGTGGAGAGAAAGGTCTGTCTCTCAGGCCCCAGAAGAGGTTAAACATCTGTGGATGTCCAGTTTGGTAGTGCAGGCCCTGAAATCAGACCAACCTGGGTTTAAATCCCCAAACCTATACTCTAAGCTATGTGACCTTGGGCTAGATACTTCACCTCTCTGGCCTTATGAAATAGGAATAATAATAATACCTCTAGGTTGTTAGGAGTATTAAATGAGGTAAGGCACTGAAAACGTGTAGGCACTGTGTTAAATCATTAAATAAATAAAAATGGGGATGACCTTATAGGCTTGACATGGGGGATTAAATGAGATAATATATAAAGGCAAATACATGGCAAATGCTTAATTAATGTTGCTTATTTTTATGTCTGCAAACTGACGTAAAGGGGAGGCCTTTAAGAAAGACAGTGGGGCAATTTGCACGTTGATGCTCTGTAACAAATCCGAGGAGAGAATGTGCAGGGGGCCCGTTGGGACCAGAGTTCAACCAAGTAAGCGGCAGGAAACCACAAATGCCTCCAGGGGTTCTGGGGCAGCACCGCCTCACC